GTTGCTTCTAGACTATGGCCCATTCACAATGAGTAGACGGAGTCATTTTTTCTGGATCGCTAAAAATGAGTACGAAAAGTTGCACATTTACGTGGAAGCTATACCGGCTCTGCCACAAAATTTGACGTTCCACGAAACTCCCGAATAGGGCCCATCATCTGTATATGGCCGGAGGAACAACCCCCAAACGTTCGAGAACTACGAATCTTCCGGTATCTTTTGTTCAAGTTAAATAAAATTTACAATGAATTGGTTTTATGTGTCGACATTTATTGTTAATAGTTTAATAAATAGTTAAATGTCATTTTATACTATGATAATTATAAATTTATAATTAGATAAAATCAGACAAATCAGAACATTCATGAAAATTTTATGAATTGTATAAAATTCATTTTAGAAAGTTACAGATTAAATATGTATTATGAAATAACACTATCTAATTCAAGAGGACTTTAACTTATTTTAAAATATTATACATAGTATATGTGTGTGTTATCATTGTTTACTAAGTATTAACATTATTTCATTATTATGAAGACAAAGTAGCTTTTATTTTAATTTAATATTATTATGTGTTAAGTACTACTTGTATAAAAGTTTATAAATGTTGATTGGATTTTTCCAGCGTTTACCGGGTTGAGCCACCGGGTCCGAGTTGACCGATGACCTAGTCACTCGATCGAGTCAATCATCAGCCGGTTTTTACAACATAGATCTCAACCCCACTCATTCAACTCAACCAACTAAAGAGGGGATGGATCGGACGGTTGTAAACAAAAGAAGAAGACCACGCATTACAATCCAATGGTCTCCCCAGTCGGAAGTGTCAAATCCGACACTGTAACAAACATAAATTCCAGCCGGAACTACCAAATCCGACTGGAATAAAAATTAATTTATTTTTCGATTGTGTGCATTCTTATTGTAAATTTTTTAATTTAGATTATGAAATTGGAATTTTTTAGTTAAATTTCTATTTTAGGACTTCAGAACAAATCATTCAACAAAACTAGTCACTCGATCGAGTCAATCACCAGCCCGGTTTTGACAACATAGATCTCAACCTCACCCATTCAACAAGTCATTCAATCTCACCCATTCAACAAATCTTTCAACAAAACTAGGCACTAGAATACGTGTTTAACACTTTAATTTCGTTAAAGAATACGTGTTTTACAAAATATTGACTCATTCAATTTAAAAAGGACACATTCTATAATACTCCTTTCCCCAAGTTATAAAATATATTCTTATACTCTTTTCCCCAAGTTATAAAATACATATCGGTACTTATATACACTTAGAAATACCTGACACGTAGGTCATCGTTTATTTGGGAAAAATTGTAGTAGTCAATGTCCTTGACTTAAAACCCCAACCCACCCTTAGACATATGAGTGTATAGGACTCCTCCTGTCCAAATTAAATAATCATAAGGACACCGTCCCGTCCTGAATTACTAAACAGTAATCTATGAGTTTTGAGGATACACGCCTGATCCTTGGGTATTCCACCCGTTATAACCAAGTTTTGAGGATACACGCCCGATCCCTGGGTACGCCACCCTACATAACTGAGTTTTGAGGATACACGCCCGATCCCTGGGTACTCCACCCTATATACCGAATTTTGAGGATACACGCCTGATCCCTGGGTACTCCACCCGACCTATGACCTACCACATATCATACTAGATAGGGTCTATATCATAATCACTAATCAAGATTAAACCAAGTCTTAAGGCCTAAGCAAAATCATCCATGCAATTCATGCATTAAAAATCAACATATAGGCAAAGGTCAAACCGGTGCCGGTTCAAACCTGACCGGCGACGATTCATGATTTATATCAACTGAACCGGGCACGCCGTACTCAAACCGGCACTGGTTCTACATGTAACCGGTGTCGGTTGCCCCCTGGGCAACCGGTCAACTCTTCGTTGACCCGCCATTCCAAATCTAATTCGTGTCAAACTTAATCACAACATATATTAAGTTATTAACAACCATTTTATGCCGTTTTTATCCTTCAAAATATTTCATATGTTTTTATAAACATTTTTCATATCATATATCATGCATATCTCAATAGTTCATTTCACACAAGCCTAATCACCTTGGCTAATCACATGTTTAAACTATTTTAAACATCATTATGAACATACATAACACTTAATTAGGTAATATCATGCTTAACCCAAAAGTTACAAAACATTAAGCCATCCACTCACCTCAAATGAGCTTTAAGAAGCTCTACCCTTCTCGGTTGAACTCCGGCGAAACTCCGACGAAATTTGACGAACTCCGAAGAAAACTCCGGCGAGTCTTTCAACTTCGTGAAAGTGCTATGATCGTCTTAGACAAGTTCCTAATAAGGTTTTATCATCACAAAACTCATATTAATATAAATAACCTCTAAAAGGTTATTTTCCGATGAAACGGTCACTTTGGCTTATAAGTCCATTCTTGGACTTAGAACTACCTTCCAACCCCTCATTCTACACTTCTAAACATGTAGAACAATACTAGGGGTCCTCCATATAATGTATATGTCATATGATAGATAAAACAAGTAGAAGAAAAGTTATTAAAAGGTTATTACCTTAATCCTTCACACTTTTTCCTTCTTTAATCTTCCTCCTTGGACCTCTAATGTTTGAGCTAGAATTTTGTATCTATGGAGGATGATATTTTGAGCTTCTCTATCACTTCTTGGATGTTTGGTCGAGCCCTTGGTTGGAGGGAGGAGGGGATGTCTCTTTTTGTCTCATTTGGTAAATGAGTGAAGGAAAAAGAGGCCCACCCATGTTTTATTTAGATGCTCCTATCTAATAACTCCTCTCCCATAATGCAGCCTCCCTTTGAAAACATTGATCACACAAAACGTGGGGTGGACCCCACTCATGTGGGAGGTCATCCCAATAAGTCCCGGACTGTACAATTTGCTCCGAAAGTTGTATTTCTCGGAGTGTTTTAATTATATTTTTTTATAAGATCAAATAAAATATAACACATGTTCCCAATCATTATGAGACTTTAGAATGAATTTACTTTCTTCAACTTTAATTTAGAAGTCCCCGAAATTCATTTCGGACTGTATCTGATTAAATTACCAAAACTAGTAATTGGGCCTTGTTTGACCCACAGGTCAACCCTATGCATTTTCTATGGCCCAACTAGAATATCCACCACCATATACTAATTATCTGGACCAAGATGAATATCATATGTGGTCCCGGAAATATCGAGCGGTCCCCGTTACCGGTTTGGGCCCCACGTGCAATTCATTATTCACGCAAATGAATTAACAAAAATTTACAACCTCGCAAATTCATAAATCATGCTGTTTATTTCATAATTCACACAAAAGTAAATATACTTGGGGACGGTGTTACAGTACTTGGAATTTTTACTTCAACCGTGGTATTCAATTTTAATACACATTGTTTTATAGTTCTTAAATTGCAAATAAAACTTTTTACACTTTCATTTCTATCCCTACGACTTCGCCACACTCCCATATGTCTGTGTTGATTCCATTCCGCTTTAGTCGGCTGAGGTGATGCTAATATTTTGCAATATGGCTGAAAGGCATTACCCTAATCGATTTCTTCGACAGTTCGGAATAACGCAAGGTATTCCGAAAGAGCCTATGCAGAGTAATGATCATCACACTAATCGTTCCACCGTATCAGCAGGTGCCTTGACATTGTGGGCGGACTGTTGGAATCATATACACGCTTGATTATGAACAACAAGCGATACTCGAAGCGAGTCATAGGTACCGAAAATGGTATGCACGGTTTGGGATAACACGTGTCCAGAACCCTTCTCACACTACGCCCGCGACAGGCTACACCCCAACAACACACGATTGGGGTCTTATGGTAAGTTTTTGAGTACATACCATATTCATTAACATATTTCGTGTCATATTATTTACACGTGTTACATTTTTATGCAGAAGCAAGAGTTTTACGAAGTGTATCAAATCTTTTGTTATGATGGAGTAAGCTGGCACATGTCACGTATCTTAAAAAACAAATCAAACAATTCTTTTGTTATTGAAATAGTATATATTCTAATCGTAATTGAATATAAGACATAAATTAAAAACATAAGTGGCTAGTAAATATGAGCAGGAAAAAGAACCAATTGTCATACTGATAGTATTATATAAACGTAAATTATTTTTACTTTTCTAGGGAAATAGAAACTCAAATTTGTAAACGAATCAAATAATTTGTGCTCGATTCACGATTCGAATTCGTATAAGACGATTCGAATTCGGAAAATTCAAATACAATTACAAATAAGAATATTAAATTTTTATCGAGTTGTTATAAAAAACAAATAAGAATATCAGTGTATTCAATTTGAATATTAATCAAATATATTCGATTAATAATAATGGTAATATTAATGTCAATATTAATAATAGTAGTAGTAATAACACTATAATAACTTTTAAAAGATAGCAATGCCCTCAAAGTGTAACCCATATATACACTTTTGCATACAAATTTCAAACCTATTTGTAATAAATCAGAATATAAATACAAATACAAATCAATTTTTTTTGGTTCAAACGTCTTTCAAATACAATACAATTAGAGTTGTTTGACTTTGATTATATACAATTATCAACTTATTTCACACATTATAAGTATAATTTCTAATATGTGTGTGTTAGTGTTTATTTAAAAAAGTTTGAAATAGATTTATATTTATTAATCATAAAAGTAATTCACTTTAGTATATTGTCTACCATCGATCTAAAAATTCAATGATCCATTAAATTTAAAGTCAAAAACACATATTAAGTCATAGCATGCATTTACAACATAAAAAATACTCCGTATGGAATATAAAAAAATTATTTTAGAGTGATATTTGACAAAAATTTAACTTATGCTCAAATCGATTCGATATTCGTATATGATTCGTTAACTATTCGTATTGTTAAACAAATACAAATACAAATCAAAATTAATATTCGTTTCATATTTGAATTCGAATTCGTATTCGAAAAAATTAAACAAATACAAATACAAAATCTCATTATTCGACTCAATTCGATTCGTACACAACCCTACTCAAAACCCTAAATCAGTAAATCCTTTCAAATTAATCCAGAATCTAGAAAACAATGCAAATACGGCTAGATTTGCGTACGACTTTGAAACTTTCCTATGATCAAAGATTGAAGCTAGACTTGGATTGCACAACCCTACACATTCGCGGTCCATCTAAAATCCTCGCAACCCGGTCAATGCCTTCCGTTGACCCAAACCCAACCCGTACATCGTCGCAGGTTGCTTTAATGTAAAACACATCCTCGTGGCTGTCCCCGGGATCTTCCTTAACCCTACACTTCAGGTCAACTGTGAACGTGTAAACCACCGCCGATTTCAGATCCAGCGGCACAACAGAATCGGTGGTGGCCACAACCACTGGCTTTTGCTCAAGGCTACCCTGCGAGAAGGCTCCCGGGTGGGCCCGCATTAACGTCTGGTTCCGGCCGGCCCAGACCACCCATACCTCCATCTCATCGTACTGATCTACCCTAGAATAATAACGTCCGTCCACATTGTTGTTGTCGAAACTTAAAGAAATGGTGCAGTTGGCCGTGAGCGGCGGTGATGCAGAAGTACTGTTGCTGTTGACGGCGGTGGCGGCGAATTTAGGTGAAAGCGTGAAGTCATAGATGCGTAGTTTTGGAGGTGACGGTAAGTTCGAATAATGGACATAGATAACGAAGAACGCCAGTGCGAATGTTGCTAACAATACTGGTACAACAACTTCACACAGAAAATCATGACACGGAAGACGACGACGTTCCGCCGTTGGAGACTCCATGCTGGATTCCAATTATTACAAGCAGAGCTCGTAGTTCATCAGGATTAGGCGAGGCCAGGTTTCCCTCTTCTAATAATAAGTACTCGTATTTACTTTAGGGCTAGTTTGAACTGTCATTATCTATAGCATAGTAAGTACGAAATGATGAATCTCAGAGTTCAGAGGTTTAATTATCGAGTTTGAAATTAATTAATAGGGAAGATTATTGCCGGCCCTAAAATATATGACTATTACGGAGTATTTCGTTCTTCCTATTTAATCGCTAACTGATATGCATGCACGGTTACTATCCATTAATTAAGATGTCTATTAATTATTCCTAAAAATGAGGAATTAGTTTACATATCATAACTGCTTCCTTAAGTATGGGGTAATCCCCTTCAAAAATATATGGGATAATCTCATGCGTAGTATATTGTAACCATGGTCATTATTATATATATTTCCGGCAGTTACAATACTAACTAATTGAATAATTTAAAGGTAGATTCTATGGTACCTTTAAAGTACTATACATTTTTCCACATGGAGCAATCAGAATAATGTAGTTGAATTATTTAAATCTAAATTAAAAATGATGTAATGATTTGAACCAATCAAGTGAGTGGTAGGTACGATATCCCATTTTTTAAATGGATACCGGAGTTGTCACCTAATTTAAATGACAGCTAATTTAATTTAGAGCATAAATATATGTTCCAGACCTTGTTAACCTTGTTTTCATTCCGAGTACGCCAGTAAAATTACTGCCTAGTTATATTACTATGAAAAAATTCCGGAAATAGGAGTAAAAAATTTTGAAAATTCTATAATAGGACTGTCATGTTTTTATTATCAAAATAGTAGTAATTATTGTCAAGGTTTGAAATATTGCAATGTTTAAAGTCTGGTACTACCAAAACATGAAAATAATTAGTCTTATTTTGAGAATAAAACATGAAAATCCTATTTTAGACATATAAACATTTTAGTCCTATTTAGGGTAATTTCTCTATTACTATACACTCCTCATATTTACATGAACATGTCTATATATAATACTCCGTATATTTTACAGCCCCTCTAAATATACTGCGATTAGTTACACTCTACTTGCATGACTAGGTATATACGGGGTAACTTATTTTACTCTTCACACATCTCATTTGAGTTGCACCAATGAAATGCATCTTAGATATGGTATCCTCCTATTTTTATTGGGTGCCATAGCAAGCACCTTTTTTTATATATTGATGAGCATGTTGATGGAGTAAGCTGGCACATGTCACACATCTTAATTAAAACAGAAATCATATAATTGTTTGGTTATTGAAATACTACCTAGTATATATTCTAAATGTATTGAATTGAATAAGACATACTAGTAATAAAAATATGAGTAGCTAGTAAATATGAACCGAAAAAAGAACGAATAATACAAATGTAAATTGTTTTATTTCAAGAAATTAGAAACTAAAAATCCTAAATCCTTTCAAATTAATCCATAATTTAAAAAATTCTGGCCCTATCTCTCTAATCAAAGATTGAAGCTAGAATTCGATTTCACAACCCTACACATCCGCGGGCCATCTAACATCCTCGCAACTCGGTCAACGCCTTCCGCTGACCCAAACCCAATCCGTGCATCGTCGCAGGTTGCCTTAATGTAAAACACATACTCGTCCCCGCTCCCGGAATCTTCCTTAACCCTACTTTTCACGTCAATTGTGAACGCGTAAACCACCGCCGATTTCAGATCCGGGGGCACAACAGAATCGGTGGCGGCCAGCAACACCGGTTTTTGTTAAAGATAGCAGCAGGAGAATTAGATAATATGGAGAGGGGAAATATGATCTTTCTTATTCTCACACACCAGAAACGAAACATTGAAAAACATATTTAAAAGAAGGAATACAACTTTCTAGATAATGACTCTTAAACTTCTCCACAAACAATTATTTCTAGTTATTAATGTCACAAGTTTATATGCCATCATTTTCCCCCCTTAAACTTGTGTCTGATTGAGCTTTGACTCCAAGTAAAATCTTCAAATGCTGAAAAACATCACTCTTTAGTGCTTTCGTAAAAATATCCGCAACTTGCTCTTTTGTGTTCACGTGTATTAGCTCCACTTTTCTTTCCTTAACCTTTTCTCGGATGAAATGGAAGCGAGTATCAATGTGCTTGGAACGCTCGTGATGAACTGGATTTTTGGCAAGGGCAATCGCCGACTTATTATCCACATAAATCTTTGTTGTTTCTTCCGGTTGCAGCTTTAGTTCTTGAAGCAGTCTCCTCAACCAGATTGCATGACAAACACAGGATGCTGCAGCAATGTATTCTGCCTCACAGGTAGATAGTGCAACAACGGGCTGCTTCTTTGAGGCCCAAGTAAATGCGGTGTCACCATAGAAGAACACGAATCCGGTTGTGCTTTTCCGATCTTCGTAGCTTCCAGCCCAGTCACTGTCACTAAATCCAACTAGTTTTGATTTCCCATTTCTAGGATAAAACAGCCCATTATTCATTGTTCCTTTGATATATTTAATAATTCGTTTGGCTGCCTTCAAGTGAGAAGTCATCGGGCTTTCCATGTAACGGCTTACCAACCCAACTCCATAAAGAATATCTGGCCGCGTACATGTCAAGTAGCGAAGACAGCCCACAATGCTTTTGTAATAGGTCGGGTTCACTGGTTTTCCTTCCCCTTGTTTTGACAATTTGGCTCCATACTCCACTGGAGTATCAACAGTTTCACACTCTTCCATACACAACTTCTTGAGAATCTCCTTGGCATAATTTTCTTGGGTCACAAAAATTCCATCTGCCTCTTGTTGTACTTGAATTCCCAGGAAGAATTTCATGAGGCCTAAGTCTGTCATCTCGAACTCCTTTTCCATGGATTGTTTGAATTCTTTAATCATGTTTTCATCGCTGCCCATAAAGATCAAATCGTCCACGTATAGGCACACCAACAAGACATTTTTTGCATCTGCCTTCATGTACAAAGCATGCTCATACGGGCATTTTGTGAATCCGACTTGAGAGAAATATTCATCAATTCTCGAATTCCATGCTCGTGGGGCCTGCTTTAAGCCATACAAGGCTTTCTTCAATTTTAGGACTTTTTCTTCTTGGTCCTTGACCTCGAAACCCGGTGGTTGCTCGACATAAATATCTTCTTCGAGAGTTCCATTCAAGAACGCGGACTTTACGTCCATTTGATATATTTTCCACCTCCTTTGGGCTGCAATAGAGATGAGCAATCTTACTGTTTCAAGTCGGGCTACCGGAGCAAAAACTTCTTCATAGTCAATCTCGAACCTTTGCTTGTAACCTTTTGCTACCAACCTTGCCTTATGTTTTTCCACCTCCCCTTTTTCATTTCTCTTTGTTTTGAACACCCATTTAACTCCAATGGCTTGGTGACCATGAGGAAGTGGAACAAGCTCCCACGTGTCATTTCTTGTTATAGCATGGATCTCTTCCCGCATAGCTTTCTTCCATTTAACTTCCTTGGAAGCCTCCTCATAAGTTAAAGGATCATGACCTGTAAAAAGACAGAAATTAATAAACTCATCATCAAGCATATGAGTGGAGTCGTAAATGTCCTGGATTCTTCGGGTTTTCCGGGCAGCAGGACTATGACTCGACTCGTCACTTTCTGAGTCATCCTGGGCTTGTCCTGGCGGTGATAAAGACATTTCCTGATTTTGTGCTTCCTTTTCCTTTTCAGGTTCAGATTCATCTTCTAGTATTACTTGATCGGATTGGTTTGGATGATTCCAATCCCATGCATGCTCTTCGTCAAACTCTACGTCTCTTGACATCACAACCTTGCCGGTTACTGGATTGAACAGTTTATACCCGCAGCAGTTTTCACCATAGCCTAAAAAAATGCATTTTTGGCTCTTATCTTCAAGCTTTGTCCTTTTTTCTTCTTGTACTTTAGCATATGCAATGCTTCCAAAAATTCTCAGGTGATCAATCTTTGGTTTGCGCGAACTCCAGGCTTCCTCAGGAGTGATATCACCGATTCTCTTTGTTGGAAACCTGTTTAACAAATAAACTGAACAAGCCACTGCATCACCCCAAAATTCTTTAGGAACACACTTTTCCTTAAGCATACACCGAACCATATTAAGAATTGTGCGATTCTTTCTTTCCGAGACACCATTTTGTTGCGGCGTTTGTGGCATGGTGAGTTGATGAGAAATACCACTCTGCTTGCAAAAAAGATCAAACTCACGCGAGGTGTATTCACCCCCTCGATCTGTCCTCAAACATTTTATTTGGCACCCGCTTTGTTTTTCAAGAAGCTGTTTAAATTCTTTGAATTTTCCAAAGACTTCTCTTTTCTCCTTCATTATGTAGACCCACGTTTTCCCACTGTAATCATCTGTAAAGGTTAAGAAATACCTGTTGCCACCAATGGAATGAGGAGAAATTGGGCCACATACGTCGAAGTGCACTAATTCAAGTCGGGTGGATGCCCTTTTTGATTTGTACTTTGGAAATGATTTCCTTTGCTGCTTTCCCAGGACACATACCTCACATAACTTGTTGGGATGCTCCATCTTTGGTAACCCAATCACCATATTTTGTCTTTCAAGCATCTTTAACGCCTCAAAATTCAAGTGCCCATAGCGAAGATTCCAAAGTGTTGATATATCAACACTGGTCACTTTAAAAGATTTTACTTCGTTGATGTTGAGTTTTAACGGAAACATTCTATTCTTTGTCATCTTCACATTGGTGATGAGTTGGTTGTTTTTATCCCGAATACTTAATGCCAAATCCTCCATTTTCACAACATACTCCTTCTCAAGCAACTGCCCAACACTCAAAAGATTACTTTTTATATCCGGGACATAGTAGACATCTGAAATACTTACATTTCTCCCATCTTGAAGATGAAGGATTATGTCACCTTTCCCTGCGATCGGCTTCTATGATAGATCCCCAAATGTAATGTTGCCAAGCTTTCTTTCATCAAGATTGGCGAAAAACTCCTTCCTTCCGCACATGTGATTTGAGGCGCCGGTGTCTAAGAACCACATAACATTATCTGTCATGCCTGGTTCTCTGCTTGCCATCAACAGTATGGTCCCGTCGTTTTGTTCTTCCTTGCTCACAAGATTTGC